GATGAGGTCTTGCCAAGTTGCCCAGGTGGGTCTTGAACCCGCAGGCTCAGGCAGTCCACTTGCCTCGACCTCCCAAAGTGCTGGGATTACAGGCTAAGCCACCGAGCCCGGCCCTGTTTTGACTTTTTAAATTAAATTGGAAAAGGAGCACTTAAAATAAGTAGAAACCTAAGTAAAAACTTAGCTCTTGCTTTCATGACATTTGCAAAACTTATTTTTGTTTTTATTGTAAACCATACTGAGATAAATTTGGTTACTAAAGCTTAAAATTACTTATGACATAAGTTTCTGAACGCTCTGTAAGGTAGAAAAAGAAGTGTGATAGTCAAGACTAAAGAGAAACCTTGAGTTTAAAATTCTCTAAATGTCACTGTGGAGAGAAACAGAAGAAATTCAGTAAAAAAACATGAATTACTAACAGTGAGTTCTGAAAGAACTTTTCCAACCTCATGAGTTCATTTTAAAACTGTTAACTAGAAACAATATCATATAAAATAGATTTTCTTGCCATTGGACAAAGAGTAGTTTCCCTGTAAATAAAGCATTTTGAAAAGGCTGTTTTGAACCTGAGTTGATCGTTGCTACATATCTGAAGGCCATGTGCACTTTGCTTGATGTAAAAGTTATACTTTTAAGACTTCATTCATATATATGGTACTAAAGAAAGACTGGAGAAGGGCAGATCATATATAAATATCTATCTTCAGTCTAGCTTCAAAAAATTGTAAATATACCATTAGAGCATTTTTTAACAGTGTGTTTTTTGGTATTGGCCAGCTTTCTATAGCCTTAATATCTCCAGTTACATAGTTTCAAATAACACAGTGAAACATCCTCCCAGTGTAACTTGAAGCAAACTGAACAGACTGTTTTACAGCTCCTGAAATCATCTTTTGAATATGTGCAATAGTAGCAAATTTTTGTTATTTGTGAAGAATCTGATTTTTAAAAACAGTAAGCTGATGAATAAAATTAGAGTGATAGAACTGGATACTGCCAGTTAAGCAATAAAAATGAGGTGTGACCACAAAGTAAGAACTGTTTGCTTAGTTCTTTTTTTTTTTTTGAGTTGGAGTCTCACTCTGTCACCTAGACTGGAGTGCAGTTGCCGCTCCTGGCCACTGCAGCCTTGACCTGCTAGGCTCTGGCGATCCTTCCGCCTCAGCCTTCCAAGTAGCTGGAACTACAGGTGCGTGCTACCACACCTGGCTAATTTTTGATTTATTGTAGAGATGAGGTCTCGCCAAGTTGCCCAGGCAGGTCTCGAACCCGCGGGCTCAGGCAGTCCACTCACCTCGGGCTCCCAAAGTGCTGGGATTACAGGCTAAGCCACCGAGCCCGGCCTGCTTAGTTCTTTATCTGGCTCTTAAAGGCTATTCTAGAAGAGAAGTTTTGGAAGTATTTTCAGTAATGGTGATATCACTGGAATATACATATGGCTTCCTGAAAGGATTGATTTTAAGGAATCATCTGTATGTTTTAACTCAAAGCCTGTTTATTTTATGGTCATATTTCAAAGGCCCACTATTGAACTATCAATTTTTAAAAATAACTTAAAAAATTTTTTTCTTTTATTGTAGGATTGTGGGGTACAAGTGAGGATTAACTACACAAATAGGGGTTTAAATAACATAATCAATATTTATTTGCTGTATTTACTATATACCAGACTCTATCCTAAGTACTTTGCAAATATGACCTCACTTGATCTTCAAAACAGCCTCATTTTGATGATTATCCCCATTTTACAGATGAAGAACTGGGGCACCAAGTAATTAAGTAACTTGCTCAAGGTCACCCAGTTAGTGAGTAGATGAGTCTAATTTCAAAACCAGGCAGTTTGGCTTTAGGCTTTGGATAACCACTATGTTATGCTGCTCCTATGACTTATTCTTGGTTAAATATTTTAAGTTGGTTTGTTCTGGAAAAGATTGTCATTTTAGTAAAGATTTCGGGCATAGGTTATAATACTGACTGAGGGGCCAATAAGCAGGTTGTGAACGTAGCCTCTTCATTAGAAAAATTGTGGTCAACATTCAGTTCACATAAGATTCAGCAAGAAAATAAAGAAGCATGTGTAAAGTAAACACATTAAAATAATTTTTTCTATAATTATTTGACACTAAGTAGTTGGACATAGAGGATGAAAGGTCTAGACCTAAATTCTCAAGAAGTTTCATACAGAGGTCTACCGGATTTATCAGAGGACACTGATGGAAAAGTTGGTAGTTGTATTAGGAATATGTCACTGTTCAAGAACCAGAAGTCAGAGACAAATGATACTTTACAGAATACCCAGAGGTGTAAACAATGCTATTTCTCAGGGATCACAATTTAACTAAGTGTTTTTCAAAGATTTTGAACCTGTAGGTCCTCTGATAACTGTATAAATTGATCAAAACCAACAATAATAACAACAAAAACCCACACGGAAAAGTTTTAAAGTGGACAAGTGAATAACATTTATAGATAAAACAATCCTTTTTGTAGAAGATATGAGTAATGTTTATAGATCAAAACAATCCTGCTGGGCTGGGTGGATCATGCCTGTAAACCCAGCACTTTAGGGGGCAGAGGTAAAAGGATTGCCTGAGCCCAGGGGTTTGAGACCAACCTGGGAAACTTGGCGAGACTTTGTTTTTACAATAAAAATTAAAAAATTAGCCAGGTATGGTGATGCACGCCTATAGTTCCAATTACAAGGAAGTTTAAGATGGAAGGACCTTCTGAGCCAAGCAGGTTGAGGCTGTGGTGGCCGTGAGTGTGCCACCGTGCTCCAGCTGGACAACAGAATGAGACTCCAACTCAAAAAACAAAACAGAACAAAAGCAAACAAAAAACAATTCTCGCCATTTTTGTAGAAGAATTGGCTCCACATTCAAATACGTTCAAATAAATATTAGGTATCAAGGATCTATCAGTCATTAGGAACTTCCATAAAGACACTGGCCCATGGGTCCACAGAATCAGCAGTACCATCAAATGCTGTACAGTAACAGAAAGAGTACTGAAAACTCAAAATAAGATTTTTTCCAGTAGTGAATAAAATGTCCAGTACTGAAGTAGTCACTCAGCTCCAGAAAGGCATGCAGGTAATTTAGGAAGTCTGAGGCATGACGAAAATATTTAAGGAGCTGCAATGACTGCCAAATGATTATAGGCTAAAAAGGCAAGAAATAATCACGTTGGGAAGACCATGACTGAGAGGTATTATCAAGTCTACAAAATCTGAAAGTGTATAAAAAAATGAGAATACAAACTTGTTCACCAAATCCTGGAAACCTTTCAAGAGAGCAACACTTAAAACTTAGGGCAAATTTAAGACTAAAAATTGGAAGTTCATTGATGGCTACAGAGTTATGGAACTTTTATTTCAGTTGCTTAAAATAATATAATTAAGTTAAAATTTTTAAGCTTGAAATCATTAGTTTAAAAAATATTTTATATAGGATCAGGACTTTCTTATATTGCTTTTCGCTTTTATGAGGTTTTCAATTGCTGTCTTTCTTAATGACAATAATGTGTCTTCACCACAACCTCAAATTTATCTTTTTTTTTTTTCTTTGAGTTGGAGTCCCACTCTGTCACCTAGACTGGAGTGCAGTGGCCGCTCTCGGCCACCGCAGCCTCGCCTACTGGGCTCTGGCGATCCTTCTGCCTCAGGCTTCCAAGTAGCTGGAACTACAGGCGCGCGCTACCATGCCCGGCTAATTTTTGATTTATTGTGGAGATGAGGTCTCACCAAGTTGCCCAGGCGGGTCTTGAATCCGCGGGCTCAGGCAATTCACTCACCTAGTCCTTCCAAAGTGCTGGGATTACAGGCTGAGCCACTGAGCCGGGCCTCAAATTTATCTTTTTAGTCACACTATCTGTTCTGTGGGATTCCTCCATCCATCTGTCTGAATTACTCCCTGGGCCTGATGGACTAGGCTTCATCCTGGGACCTTTCTTCTTGCACTCTTAGCTTGGAGCTCCTACTTCCTGTATCCTGTGCAGTTCAGGTCATGTTTTTCTCCCTTCTTTTGTAACTGTCTCGAGGGATGTGGAGAGGTAACCCTCCTGAATTTTCTCATTTCCTGAATTATCTGTTTCCTCTCTGTTCAGTAGGTCCTACAGTTTTCTTATTCATGTTGCTAGGTTTTCTCATTTGTCTGGTGGTTCTTAGTTATTCATTTATATTTAAGACTGAAGGACTGGATGATGATTATTTGAGGTAGTTAGTGTACAGTGGTATCTCCAAGTTTCTCCCCAGAAAGTCCCATCAGTTCCCTACTCTTTGATGTGGAGCCTGTACTGAGCTTTTATAAGTGACTGAATGTGGCTGAGCATGCCTCGGACTAATACTTTAGTCCAACTGAGAATGATAATCTTTTATAATCTTGAGTTAATAAATGGTGATACATTGTGAGGTAGAAATAAACTACACACAAATCTTTTTGCTTATTCCATTCCTGAAATGAATTCAGATGTTAATAAAGGAAAGTAGTACTTTGAAAGCAAACAGGGAATAATGAAAAAAGGATTATAAGTTAATTCAAATACTTATTGAACTTTACTGTGTTCCATCTTTCTGGTGAGGTGAAGGGATTTATAAATAAGACACAAGGAACTAGCTGGAGATACTTACCCTTTCATTCCTCTTCAAATGTTTCTTGTTTAAGATAGAGTAAGTGGCTGGGCATGTTGGCTCACACCTGTAATCCCATGACTTTGGGAGGCCAAAGTGAGAGAATTGCCAGAGCCCACAGGTTTGAGACCAGCCTGGGGCAACTTGGCGAGACCTCATCACTACAATATATCAAAAAAATAGCCGGGCGTGGTGGTGTATGCCTCAAGTTCCGACTACTTGGAAGGGTGAGGTGGAAGGATCAGTGGCCATTAGTGTGCCACTGCACTCCAGTCTGGGCAACAGGGTAAGACTCCTACTCAGAAAAAAAAAAGAAAAAGATAGAGTAAGTAGACATTTTTGTAAATCCATAATTTACTGGATTATGTACCAGAACTGAGTATTTGAGCTGTATATTGATACATAGTTGCTAGTATTCAAATGATAGCATCTATCCAAATTTGAGAACCAGTGCCCATGGTCAACTGCTGTAGGGCTAGATTTATAGATTTCAAGTGTTATAACAATTTTTAGGGCATTCTGAGGAAAGACCTTATATAGAACATTTAAGGGACACAGGGATTGTTGCCTCGTCTCTAGATGATTCTTTCATGTCTTGTAATTCTATCTTCCTGGGTTTTTATTTAATTTAATTAAATTAATTAATTTATTTATTTATTGAGTTGGAGTCTCACTCTGTTGCCCAGACTGGAGTGCAGTGGCATGCTCTTGGCCACCGCAGCCTCAACCTGCTGGGCTGCGGCAGTCCTTCCGCCTCAGCCTTCCAAGTAGCCGGAACTACAGATGTGCCACGCCCGGCTAATTTTTGATTTATTGTAGTACGAGACGAGGTCTTGCTGAGTTGCCTGGGTGAGTCTCAAACCCCAGGGGTTCAGGCAATTCACTCATCTCGGCCTCCATAGTGCTGGGATTACAGCTGAGTCACCAAGCCTGGCCCACCTGGGTTTTAATATGAAATATGTCCTCCCTTCAAGGAGATTTAGGTAATAAGGCTGAGGAGTTATTGATAGTACATGATGATGCCTTTAAGGGCTTTGGATCTTCTTTTGGAATACAGATGCCTCTTGCTGCTGAATGAGCCTCATCCTCATTCACACCTTAATACAAATTGAATTACAATTACAAATTAGATTATCTCTACATCTGAGAAAGTGGAGTGGGAATTGGGAACTTTGATGAGGGAGTAAGATTATAAATTTAATCAGTATTATTTACTAATCAGTGCACATACTTGAACTAATATTGTCATCTACTATAGTACAAACCTTCATTAGATGAAAAAACTGAGAGCCTAAGAGATTAGCAGTTTTTTTTTTTTTTTGAGTTGGAGTCTCACTCTGTCGCCCATACTGGAGTGCAGCGGCACGCTCTTGGTCACTGCAGCCTCAACCTGTTGGTCTCGGCGGTCCTTCCGCCTCAGTTTTCCAAGTAGCTGGAACTACAGACATGCGCTACCGTGCTCGGCTAATTTTTGATTTATTGTAGAGACAGGGTCTTGCCAAGTGCCCGGGTGGGTCTCGAACCCGTGGGCTCAGGCAGTTAACTCGCCTTGGTTTCCCAAAGTGCTGGGATCGCAGGCTGAGCCACCAACCCTGGCCGAAATTAGCAGTTTAATTTAAGTAATTTAATGGCAGAATTGGAACCCTAGAACCCATCCTCAACTGTCAGCCCTCTGGGGTTTACATTTTAATGTACTATCATGCTATAAAGGTATCTCCAAGAGTAGAATAATATAGACAGAAGTGTGCTAGTTTGGGGTAATGAGATTAGGAGAGGGTGTACTTGGGCAACAAATATTTAATCCAGTGCCTAACAATGTCTGACACAGAGTAAATGTTTGCAAGCATATTGTTCTTTCTTTGAGCTAGGTGTTATTTATGGTGCTGTGAAGGGCTGCAAAATGTGTCAAGGATCCATCTCTTTCAAATAGCTTTCATGTTGATTGGTGATTTAAGATAATTGGTAAATTGAGTAACAGATGTCAAGGTAACAATAGATGGTGTGGTCAAGAAAGACTTGACTAAGAAAAATTTGCAGTATGCCTCAAAGTGTATAAAGTTACTTTTTCGTTTTACTCCATTAGAAAGCATTCTTATACCTCTTGGATATACCCACCTCAAAATTGGAGTTCTTACTTGAGACTAAGTTTTTGGTAAACTTTCATAAGTGGGTTGTGCTAGATGAACTCCAAGTTCTCTGCATCTGTAGGTTTTTTATTAATTTATTTTTTTGCGTGTGTGGAGTTGGAGTCTCACTCTATTGCCCAGGCTGGAATGTAGTGGCACACTCACGGCCACTTCAGTGTCGACCTGCTGGGCTCCAGCCATTCTTCTGCTTCAGCCTTTCAAGTAGCTAGAACTACAGGTACGCACTACCACACCCAGCTATTTATTGTAGAGATGAGGTTTCGGCAAGTTGCCTGGGCTGGTCTCCAACCGTGGTCTCAGACAGTCCACTCACCTCGGCCTCCCAGAGTGCTGGAATTATAGGCTGAGCCACCGAGCCCGGCATATTAATTTACTTTTAAAGCTGATCTTGAGTTCTTGCTGCCTGGTATGGATTAAGTTGAATCAATTATGGTTTAATTTGGCAAATATTATTGAGTATCTGCTGTTGTGCAGACATTGTGCTGCTGGAATAGAAATGAGAATAATGCACAGGCTAATAGGGGACACTAATTTTAATTTTAAAGAGCACAAGTGAGGATGGGAAAGGTTTTTTGCAAAAGATAGCAGCTAGGTTTTAAGGATAAATAGGAGCTTTCCAAATGCAAGAATAGGAGAGCCACTCTAGGTAGAGAAAACATCCAGACCTGAAATAGCATGGTGTGTTAAGACAGTTTTGAACAATATATTGGAATATGAAGTAGAATACTTGGGAAGAGGGTTGTAGCAAGTGGTAGGCATGAATCTAGAGTGAGTCTAATGTCTATGGTATTCCATCTGGCCTGACAGTCAAGGAGTTTTAGGTAGGCAGTCCAAACACAAGGTTAAATAAATTTCTGCCCCCAACACACCCCCAGCACCTTGGGAGAAGAACGAAGATGAAAGATCATTGAGACTGGAGATTAGTGGATTTTTGGAGGAAGCTTTGGGCTTAAAGATAATTAACAGGAAGTTTTTAGAAATTCGATAATAGTGAATTTTTGGGAGTGTGGTGCCTGATCTTCTAGTAGGGTCACCTGGCATTAACTAAGCACATGTTTTAAAGCAGTTGAACAACAGGGAAGGGCATGTGTTAGCATACTGTCTCTGACACTATGCTTGTTTCTGTTTCCTGATTCCCAGAAGACCAGCTGGCCATAAATCAATTGCTAGAACTCTGTTTGCAGGATGATTCTGTGGAGCCAAGTTACCTAGAACCTATACTGCAGCCAAAAGTGCCTCATGTGGTTTTGTGCCAGAGGACTTTCTTAATCTCTGCTGTCATGTCCTCATCCACAATATTTGTGGTCCTTGAGAGTGGGGCATTGAAGTGGTTTTTGTGCCTGAGTTATATTCTAACCACTCTTAGAATCTTTCATGTTTTACTCCCTCCAAAATGCTGCAGATTTAGAGTCGTCCCAAATTTTATACTTTTGATCTGTTTTCTATTAATTTGTAATAGTTTGTCTTTAATATTTCACAGACTTTCTTGATCATGGATGGTGAAGATATACCAGATTTTTCAAGTTTAAAGGACGAAACTGCTTATTGGAAGGAACTTTCCTTGAAGTATAAACAAAGGTAATGTTGAAAAGCAAAACTAAAAATAGGGGAGGACATTTGAATACATCATGTCTTGCTTGTGCAATTTCTTTTTAACATAAAGCCAAATTTAGAGTTTCAGATTTAGGATTGAAATTCTAGAAATATCACAACATTGCTTGTATTTAAATAGTACAAGCATGCCATAAATCTTTGTGCTGTTCAAATTATTAAAATAGTAGGAAAACAGTGTCATCTATGATTTTTTCATACATGAGTCCTTTTTGGTCTTATAAATCATTTTCATGGTTGTCTTTTTTGTTTAGTATATTTTATGAGAGCATTACCCTTCAGGCAAAAGTTATAGAATTGATAACCTAGTTGTGCAAGATGATCCTGTGGCTCCTACTATAACTCATCTTTCCCATTTTGTTTCTGACTAGCTTCCAGGAAGCTCGAGATGAGCTAGTTGAATTCCAGGAAGGAAGCAGAGAACTAGAAGCAGAGTTGGAGGCACAATTAGTACAGGCTGAACAAAGAAATAGAGACTTGCAGGCTGATAACCAAAGACTGAAATATGAAGTGGAGGCATTAAAGGTAATTGTAGCAGTAGAAACTGGTGTCTAATGTGCTGTATTTTATTAAAATGAGAAATATATATTTTGGGTGGTGCTTAAGAGCAACAGGCAATGAAAAATAGTTTTAAGCCGGGCTCCGTGGCTCAGCCTGTAATCCCGCGCCTTTGGGAGGCTGAGGTGAGTGGATTGCCTGAGCCTGCGGGTTCGAGACCCGTCTGGGCAGTGAGACCTCATCTCTACAATAAATAAAAAAATCAGCCGGGAGCGGCCACTGCACTCCAGTCTGGGCGACAGAGTGAGACTCCAACTCAAAAAAAAAAAAAAAAAAAAAGAAAATTAGTTTTTAAAAAGGCTTTAAGTTTTCTTTCATGGAACCAAGGGAAAAGGTAGTTTAGAGTTTAGGGTATCACTTAGAAATTTCATAGCTGTCAGTTTTCTAGATATAGTGCTCCTAGCTGTACTATATTGTTGTTCCTATAATTTTCACAATCTGCCTGATTATTTTGTTTTGACAGTTAGATTGCAATATTTTTAAATTATATGCATTTATTTCATTTTTGTTCATAGCCACTTCAGTTTTGGAGTCGAGCTTGGCTTAACTATTTTCCTTCTAAAAAGGAATTTTCAGGAGTGAAAGGATTAACCCCTTTCTCTTCTTTTCACTTGCTTTAACCAAATGCTTGGGATGTTTCCATGTCTAGGGAACTGTTGGGTTTGAGAAAGGTGGAGGAGGGCAGATAAGGGATAAGGAATTTGAACCCTGAAAGACAGTTTACTTCTCTGTGCTTACCCAAGATAAGTTGGGGAATTTTGAGGCAAGAGTTTTGTTACTTTACTTGCTTTTAGAGAGATCATTATTAGATTTCTTTCTGAGAGAAAAATGATTGATTATCTAAATTTTGAATGAGGTTAAGGCATGTATATGAGTGTATCATTTGGTTGTTTTTTAAATGTAAGAAGGAGAAGAGGGTATCATCAACTCAGATTGTTGGTGAAATCCTTGGATTTTTTTCCCCCTTTAATATGGATTACTTCCTTTCTTAAAGAAGACTGTTAATGACATATACTTTCCTATACCCATGCCTTCAGGAGAAACTAGAACACCAATATGCACAGAGCTACAAACAGGTCTCAGTATTAGAAGATGATTTAAGTCAGACGCGGGCCATTAAGGAGCAGCTACATAAGTACGTGAGAGAGCTGGAGCAGGCCAATGACGACCTCGAGCGAGCGAAAAGGTAAATGAGTAAGGTGCATTTTGTTAGAATAACCACAGTTAGTAATTGGTGATTATAATCTTTATCATTAGGCTCAACTTACCATCTAGATCTTAGTCTCAGAACATTTGGTATTTCTTGTTACCCGAAACTCATTGGATTAAAAGGATCCAAAATTCTTATTTCCCCTGGTAATGCCTTTTCAAGCTTTTCTCTTTCAATTTTTCCTTTTTCCTCTTCCATGTACTATTGTTGGTCCTATTGTTTTTTTTTTTTTAAAACTCTCTCATGTATTCTTCCATCTTTCCTTTGTGTTTTCAGTACTTCCTACAGGCCTTCCACATGTTATACCTAGATTCTGCAGTTATCTCCTAGCTAATTTGTCTTTCTATTTTTATTCCTTTTCATTCTCTTGTGTTTTAATCTTGACTGATGAGTTTTCTTAAAATGTTGCTCTTATTGCAATTTTCCTGAACAACCTACAGTGGCTGGTTATTACTGTTGTCAGGCTTTTATTCATCTGTAATTAGTTTTTTCTGAACTATTCCAAACTTGAAATTCCTGTTACTTTTACAAATGTTTCCTGGTATTTTTTTTTTTTTTTTTTTAGATTTTTGTTTTATTTTATTTTATTTTATTTGTTTTTTTGAGTTGGAGTCTCACTCTGTTCCCAGACTGGAGTGCAGTGGCATGCTCCCGGCCACCACAGCCTCGACCTGCTGGGCTCCAGCGATCCTTCTGCCTTAACTTTCCAAATAGTTGGAACTACAGGCACCTGGCTAATTTTTTTTTCTGATTTATTGTAGAGACGAGGTCTCGCCAATTTGTCTGGGTGGGTCTCAAATGCATGGGCTCAGGCAATCTACTCACCTCAGCCTCCTAAAGTGCTGGGATTACAGGCTGAGCCACCAAGCCCAGCCTCCTGGTATTTTTTAAAAGAGACTCTTAAGTGACTGACATGATGCTAGGGTTAAGGATACAGACCTAAGCTAGTGACTGCCCTTGAAGGTGCTAAATATGGGCATTCACTATGTTAAATGCTTGAGTAAAAAGAGTGTACATGCTATTCCAGGGCATAGAGAAGGGAGCAGCTGAAGCACCTTGGGGAAACCTTTGCACATACTAGAACTGAGCCTGCAAGGAGGGATAAAAGTTAACCAGGTAAAAAGACAGATGCAAAGGCAGAGGCCAGATAATGTTTAAAGTATTAATATTTCACTTTGACATGTATGGAGACAGTGTGGCTGAAGGAGATGAGATTGGGGTCTGATTGTGAAGAACCTTGCCTGCTAATTTTGAAAATCACTTTATAGGCGATGGAAAACTCTTCAAGGTTTTTCTAATCAAAGGAGTAATATCCGATTTTTTTTTTTTAACTTGAGTCAGGGTCCCACTCTGTCACCCAGGCTAGAGTGCAGTGACATGATAATGGCTCACTGCAGTCTCAACCTTCTGGGCTCAGGTGATCCTTCCTCCTCAGCTTCCCAAGTAACTGGGACTATAGGCATGGGCTACCACCTGTGCTATTTTTTTTTTTTTTTTTTTTTGAGTTGGAGTTTCACTCTGTCGCCCAGACTGGAGGGCAGTGGCATGCTTCGACCTGCTGGGCTTAGCGATCCTTCTGCCTCAGCCTTCTAAATAGTTGGAACTACAGATATGCACCACCACACCCAGCTAATTTTTTGATTTATTGTAGAGATGAGGTCTCACCAAGTTGCCCGGACTGGTCTTGAACCCCTGGGCTCAGGCAATCCTCTCGCCTTGGCCTCCCAAAGTGCTGGGATTACAGGCTGAGCCACTGTGCCCAGCCACCTGTGCTATTTTTAAAAAAATTTTGTGGAGACAAGGACTTGCTATGTTACTCAGGCTCATACTTTGATTTGAGAAGATAATACTGAGGAATTGGAGTAGGAAGGAGATGTAAAGACCATTTAGGAGTAATCCAAGTGATGGATGAGGAGTTAAGGCAGAAGATTAAGTAGGTTGAGGCAGAAGGTTGAAGAAGAAAGAGAGTTGAGAGACATTTTGATAGTTTTAGGAATTGCTAAAATTGGACATGGCATTAAAAGTTTTAACCTGAAATTAGGGAGTTTTTTTCCTGTTGCAGATAGTAACGGAAGGGCACTGAGTAGGTGCAGGTTTGTTGAATGAATAAGAAATGCAGGAAGAAGAAAAGAGTTGGCAGGAAGTAAATGAAGTGGGTCCTGGATCTTAATGTTTTAAACCAGTGATCCCTGATGGAATATTATACAGCCATAAAGAAAAGCAAAATTATGAACTTTGCAGCAACCTGGATGGAATTAGAGTCTGTAATACTCAGTGATTTATCACAGAAACAAAGATCTGAGTACCACATGTACTCACTCATAAGTGGACCTTGAACATTTTATCATAATACCATAAGAAAGGGATTGGCAGTAGTGGGACACTGCCAGGGGAGGGGGAGCCATACTTTACCTGTATGATGACCACATATGTACCTAACTTTCATTTGTACCCCACATTTTAAAAATAAAATAATTAAAAAAAATAATAAACCAGTGATCCCCAATCTTTTTGGCATCAGGGACCAGTTTTGTGAAAGTTAATATTTCCACGGACAGGGGTGAGGTGGTTTCAGGATGATTCAAGTGCATTACATTTATTATGTACTTTATTTCTATTATTATTACATTGTAATATATAATGAAATATATAGCATCACCTCCTCAGCTCCTCCTCAGATCACCAGGCACTGAATTCTCATAAGGATCATGTATCCTCTATCCCCTTATATGCGTAATTCACAATGGGGTTTGCGCTCCCATGAGAATCTAATGCTGCTGCTGATCTGACAAGGCAGAGATCAGTGGTAATATAAGCAATGAGGAGTGTCTGTAAATACAGATGAAGCTTCTCCAGCTCGCCTGTGGCTCACCTTCTGCCTGCCACTCACCTCCTGCTGTGTGACCTGGTTAGGTGGCCCGGGGTTGGGGACCCCTGTTTTAAACAAATTCTTAATTAATTCTTAAATACTCTGAAACTATTGAAATGATTTCTTTCTGAAAATGTGAAAACTTGACTGTATTGTGTTTAAAATTCAGCATAAATAGTGTAACAAATAGACTTTCTATTATGTTAAGGACCATTAAGGAATTTAGATGAGAATTTAAGAGAATACATAGAACAGCCCAAATGATAATAGAGACACTAAATGCCACTGGAGGTCAGGAAGGGGTGAGATCATTTGCTTTAAATGGAACCAGGCTGGCTAGATCAGGAAATGTCATGAGATAAATGGACAGTTTCCTTTTGTATTAGCTGTTTGCACATGTTATTTATTTAATTCGTGGACTCTAATTTTTCTTTTTAGGGCAACAATAGTTTCACTGGAAGACTTTGAACAAAGGCTAAATCAGGCCATTGAACGAAATGCATTTTTAGAAAGTGAACTTGATGAAAAGGAATCTTTGTTGGTCTCTGTACAGAGATTAAAGGATGAAGCAAGAGGTAAAATATATAACTTAAAGGATACAGCTGACACTTGAACAACATTGGGCTTGAACTGCTCAGGTCTACTTACGAGAGGGGCTCCCCCCAAAATCTGGAATTATCTTTTGGAGGGTGGGCCCCTTGGAGGACAGGCTTCAATGCATTTTCCCATTTCATCATGGATGATTTACAAGCCTACCTGTCCACATTGCACTGAGCATTCAACAGTTTTTGACCAAAAATGGCATGACCCCTGTGCCCTGCCATCCCTGTTCATCCAATCTCACCCTGAGAGACTTGTTTTTTGCTTCTCTGGATGAAAAAAAGTTCTCAAGGGGAAATGTTTTACCTATGTGGAAGAGGTGAAACAAAACAAAAACGCCAAAACAGAAGTACTGAAGGGCATTAAAATTGACAAGTTCAAAAACTGTTTTTGAGCAGTGGAAAAAGCATCTCGACAGGTGTATTGCATCAAACGGAGAGTACTTTGTTATTTCTTTTACTTTTTTAAAGTAGGAGTCTTACTCTGTTACCCAGGCTGGAATGCAGTGGCATGCTCACGGCCACTGCAGCCTCGATCTGCTGGGCTCAGGTGATCCTTCTACCTCAACTGTCCAAGTAGCTGGAACTACAGGCATGCACCACCACACCCAGCTAATTTTTTGATTTATTGTGGAGATGAGGTTTTGCCAAGTTGCCCAGGCTAGTCTCGAACCCCTGGACTCAGGCAATCCTCTCACCTCGGCCTCCCAAGTGCTGGGATTATAGGTGTGAGCCACCGTGCCAGGCCAGAATTTCCTTCTTTTTAAAGACTGAATAAAATTCCATTGTATGTATTCATTTCCTTTTTTTTTTTTTTGTCTCTGTCACCCAGGCTGGGATGCAGTGTCACACTCACGGCCACTGCAGCCTCAACCTGCTGGCCTCAGGTGATCTTTCTGCCTCAGCCTTCTATGCAGCTGGAACTTCAGGCCTCCGCCCCCATGCTTGGCCAGTTTTTTTTTGTTTTGTTTTGTTTTTTTGAGTTGGAGTCTCACTCTGTCGCCCAGACTGGAGTGCAGTGGCCGCTCCTGGCCACCGTAGCCTCGATCTGCTGGGCTCCGGCGATCCTTCCACCTCAGCCTTCCGAGTAGCCGGAATTACAGGCGCACACTACCACGCCTGGCTGATTGTTGATTTATTGTAGAGATGAGGTCTCGCCAAGTTGCCCAGGCAGGTCTCAAACCCGCGGGCTCAGGCAGTCCACTCACCTCAGCCTCCCAAAGGTGTGGTATTACAGGCTGAGCCACTGAGCCCGGCTCAGTTTTTTTATTTCTTGTAGTGATGAGGTCTCACCAAGTTGTCCAGGCTGGTCTTGAACCCCTGGACTCAGGCAATCTTCTCACCTCAGCCTCCCAAAGTGCTAGGATTATGGGCATGAGCCACTGTGCCCGACCCATTTCCTTTATCCATTTATCTGTGGATGGGTATTTTGGTTGCTTCCATCCCTAGGCTCTAAGGCTGCTATGAACATAGGTGTACAAATATTTCTTTGAGATCCTGTTTTGAATTCTTTTGGATACATACCCAGAAGTAGGATAACTTTGTATCCTTTTTTAACATAAACATTCTGTAGGCTAGTTGTATAACTTGAAAATAAAACATCTAATTTTGAGCTAAAATGCTATATTTGAAAGCAAGAACATTTAAAAACTATTCTGAATGCTTCTTTTTTAAAACAAAATATTTCATAGTGATAATTTTTTAAAATCAACCCATTTAAAATTACAAAAATGAGGCTGGATGCAGTGGCTCACACTTGTAATCCCAGTACTTTGGAAGGCTGAGGCTGGAGACTCACTTGAGCCTAAGAGTTTGAGATCAGCCTGGGCAACAGAGTGAGATGTCATCTCTACAAAAAAATATAAAAATTAGCTGAGGTGGTGGCACACGCCTGTAGTCCCTGCTACTTGGGAGGCTACGGTGGAAGGATTGCCTGAGCCCAGGAAGTTGAGGCTGTGGTAAGCCAGGATTTTGTTGCTGCACTCCAGTCTAGGTGACAGAGTGAGACCCTGAGACCTTGTCTCAAAAAAAGAAAAAAAATTACAAAAATGTGCTTAATTGCTGTTTGCAGTAATTCCCAAATGACATCATTTCAAAATAAAGACAAATTAATTGGTAAAGAATATTTATTTTTGTGTCATATAGGTTCATTATGAGTTCTACTTTGGAACTCTGTCCTTTTTCTTTTTGCGTATAGGCAAGGGTAACATAGCATTTTAAAATTCTAACTGATTGACTAGATGTGGTATCTCATGCCTTTAATCCTAGCACTTTGGGAAGTAGAGGTGAGAGGACTGTGTGAGCCCAGGGGTTCAAGAGCAGCCTCAGCAACATGGGGAGACCTTGTCTCTACAATAAATAAAAAAATTAAATCTGGGTGTGATGATGCACACCTTTGTTTCTAGCTATTTGGAAATCTGAGGCAAAGGATCGCCTGCCCAGCAGTTTGAGGGTATGGTGGCTGTGGTCCTGCCACTGCATTCCAGCCATGGCAATAGAGTGAGACTCCAACTCAAAAAATAAATAAATAAATTCTAACAGATTATTTGGACAGTAGAATTATCATTTTTATTCCCCTAGAAAGTCATTAAATAGGAAATTAACTTTTGAGAAATAGTGATTTAGGAAGAATGTCTTTATGATACTTCGCGTATGACTTTACTTGCTGTATTTGCTCCCTCTAATGAATATTACTACCTTTTTTTGGGCAACACTTTACAGATTTAAGGCAAGAACTAGCAGTTCGGGAAAGACAACAGGAAGTAACCAGAAAGTCTGCTCCTAGTTCTCCAACTCTAGACTGTGAAAAGATGGATTCTGCTGTCCAAGCATCACTCTCTTTGCCAGCTACTCCTGTTGGCAAAGGAACAGAAAACAGTTTTCCTTCACCAAAAGGTTTGTAATGTCTTTTCTTTTTCAGGCTATGTTGATTATCAACTTAAGAGGGTTTATTGATGAAGCAGGTTGCTAAGGTTTAAAGAGAAATTTCAGTTTAAAAGTTGGTCAAGTCTAGTGCTATATGATGCCAAAGAGGGAATTGTTTTCCTAGGCCACTCACACAGAGGAAGCAATGAAATGATGGTTACATTTAAGATGAGCAACCTAGCCGGGCTCTGTAGCTCAGCCTGTAATCCCGCGCTTTGGGAGGTTAGGTGCGTGGGTTGCCTGAGCCCGCGGGTTCGAGACCTGCCTGGGCAACTTGGTGAGACCTCATCTCTACAACTCAAAAAAAAAAAAAAGATGAGCAACTTAATAAGTGAGATTTTATTTGTTTTGTTTTGTTTTTTTGAGTTGGAGTCTCACTCTGTCTCCTAGACTGGAGTGCAGTGGCCGCTCCCGGCTACCACAGCCTCGACCTGCTGGGCTCCGGCGA